GTGTTTCTCTTACTCTCCTATTTTTAATCTGTGGGAGGTGTGGCTTGCTCACTAGCCTTCAGCTAGTTAAGCTCCAGCATCAATTTGGACGCAGTTGCTGATCATGAGCTGTCTGTTTCTTAGTCATTCAGTCTTTTCCCTCCCCTCCAACCCCCTCTCCCTCTCTCCCCTCCCCTGCCCTCCCCTTCCCTCCTGTCCCTTTCCCTTCTCTTCCCTCCCTCCCCTCCCCTCCCCTCCTGTCCCTTCACCTCCCCTCCTCTCCCCTCCTGTCCCTTTCCCTTCTCTTCCCTCCCTTCCCTCCCCTCCCCTCCTGTCCCTTCACCTCCCCTCCTCTCCCCTCCTGTCCCTTTACCTCCCCTCCTCTCCCCTCCCCTCCCCTCCAATCACCTCTTGTCCCTTCCCCTCTCCTCCCCTTTCCTCCAATCCCCTCCAACCCCCTCCTGTCCCCTCCAATCCTCTCTCTTCCCCTTCCCTCCCCTCCCCTCCCCTCCCCACCTTTTCTTCCATTCCCCTCTCCTCTTCCCTTCCCTGGTTCATCAATACAAGCTCTGGTTGGTTGGCTGGTTAGGGTTAGGGACCACGGTGTGTCTTCCTGTCCTTTCATTTTGATTTCCCCTATATACTCATGCTGTGAATATCTTTATGAATAGCTGTTTTTTTTTTTATTTCAGCAGCATTCTCATTTATTTATTTTCTGTGCACGCACACACGTGCATGCATGTATATATGCCACAGTACACATGTGGAGACATTGTGCTTCTGTTAGAGCTTTTCATTCACAAGTGTTTAATGGGGTCACTGTGGGGCTTGGGTTTAAATGTTTTGACTGTGTGTTCTTGTACTCTCTGTTGTGTTTTCAAATAGGCCTGTAACTGTGCAGACCAGGCTGGCCTCAAACTCACAGAGATCCTCCTGCCTCTGTCTTTAAGTGCTGGGACTAAAGGCCTGACCTGCTCCCCCTCTCATAACCATTCCCACTTCCCTCCTGCCTTCCCACCGATACCTGGCAATCAATATATTAGCCATATCTTTGATAAACTTCAAGCATGTTGTAGAAATGGAACCATCCAGTATATAACTTCTACATAATCTACAGTATATTACAGTATATGACTTCTATATAATATAGTATATTACAGTATATAACTTCTACATAATCTACAGTATATTACAGTATATAACTTCTATATAATATATTTTATTACAGTGTATAACTTCTATATAATCTACAGTATATTACAGTATATGACTTCTATATAATATAGTATATAACTTCTACATAATCTACAGTATATTAGAGTATATAACTTCTATATAATATACAGTCTATTACAGTATATAACTTCTACATAATCTACAGTATATTACAGTATATAACTTCTACATAATATGCAGTATATTACAGTATATAACTTCTACATAATCTACAGTATATCACAGTATATAACTTCTATATAATATATTTTATTACAGTGTATAACTTCTATATAATCTACAGTATATTACAGTATATAACTTCTATATAATATGCAGTATATTACAGTATATAACTTCTATATAATATGCAGTATATTATAGTATATAACTTCTATATAATATATAGTAGATTACCATATATAACTTCTATATAATATATAGTATATTACAGTATATAACTCCTATATAATATGCAGTAGATTACAGTATATAACTTCTATATACTATACAGTTTATTACAGTATATATGTAGTATATTATAATATATAACTTTCCCCCCTCTGAACAATAATTTTCACATTTCTGTATATATCAGTAGTTCACTTTTATTGCTATCTAGTATTCTGTGGGATGGGTATACCACAGTTTCTTTAGTCACTGGTCTGGAGAAGAAAATCTGTTTCCAGTCTGATGCTCTCACGATCAGAGCTGTCCTGAGCAGTGCAGGCTTTCATGTGGATTTTAGTTTTGAATCATCTGGAACAGATGCCTGGAGTGTGACTTCTGGGTTACATACTAGTCTCATGTTCAGTTTTTAAAGATTGATCTCTTATTTTTAATTACATGCAAGTGTGTGTGTGTGTGTGTGCGTGTGCGTGTGCGTGTGTGCATGTGTGTGTGTTACTATGTGCACTAAAGTGCAGTGTCTGTGGAGGCCAGAAGAGGGCATCCTATCCCCTGGAGCTGGATTTACATGAGCTGCCATGTGGCTGCTGGTAATTCAGGTCTTCTGGAAGAGCAGTCAGTGCTCTTGACTGAGCACCCTCCCCCACCTCACTTAAAAAGAAACTGACTAATTATCCCCAGAGTGGCTGTTTGACACCCCACTGTGGCGTGGATGTCACCCCCTTCTCCACGTGCCCTGATTTTGCTGTTCTGCCGGGTGTTTCGTGATGTTGCACTGCAGTTTCAGTTTGGATTTCTCTGCCACGAGGTCTTACACTTCCTTGTTTCTTTCTGTATTTAACACCAGGTGTGCCGTTTTCATACGGTGGCTGTGATAAACACCATGACCAAAAGCAGCATGGGGAGGGAGGTTTCTTCTTTTGTTTTGTTTTGTTCCCCTCCCCCTCTTACAATTCTAGGTCACAGTTCATCACTGAGGGAAGTCAGGACAGGAACTCAAGGCAGGAACCTGGAGCAGAAACCGTGGAGGAACACTGCTTATTGTCTTGCTCTCTGGTTCATGTTCAGCTACATTTCTTATCATCCCAGGACCACCTACCTGCTCAGGGATGCTATCACCCACAGTGGGCTGGGTCCTCCTGCATTAATCGTCAGTCCAGGCAATCCCCGTAGACACACCCATGGGTCAGGCTGATGATCAATTCTTCAACTGATCCCTCTCCCCAGGTGTGTCAACTTGACAATCAAGATTAGCCTCACAAAGGTAAGACTTGGGCTCTGAAAGTGGAAATGAAGCAAGATTCAGGCAAACGAGAAGACATCCCATGTTCATGGATTGGAAGATGTGGTGGTGTTCAGATGGCCATGTTCTCCAGGCTGATCTGAAGACACAGTAGGGTCCCTCTTGGTACCCAAATGACTTCACTGAGTAGAGCATGTGGCAGATCCTAAAGTTCACATGTTCCACAATGAACCAGAACAGCCCAGACAGTATGGAAGAGAACAGAGAGGACTCAGATGTCTACCAAGCCATGCTAGTCAGGACAATGTGTTCTTGGCATTAGGAGATGTATTAGTCACTGGGATAGAATTTAGAGTTCAGAAATAAATCTCACATTTATGAGTTGATTTTTGACACAGGATGATTTCTCACGGTACTGGGACTACTGGATATTCACATGCAAAAGAATGAAGTTGGACCTAAACTTCACCACATGCAAAATTAATTCAGGGTGGACCAAAGACATATATGAAGAGGCTAAGTTGTCAGACTGAGAGAAATCTTCACGGACTTAGATTAAGGTGTTTTTTTTTTGTTGTTGTTTTTTCAAGGCTAAAAGCACAGCTAATAAAATAAAAATAGGTTAGTTGCCCTCTATCAGAATCATTTGCCTTCTGTGCTCTCTTTAGTGAATGTCTCTTCATGTCCAGTTTGATTTTTTTTCCTAACCATTTTCTCATCTCTCCTTTCCTTTTCTCTCTCTCTCTTGCTCCCTCTTCTCTGAGATAGGGTTGAACAAATCTCAGGCTGGCCTCCAACTGGTTGTGTCACTGAGGATGATTTTGAACGTCTCATCCTCCTGCCTCTGCCTCCCAAACCCTGAGATTACAAGCCATGCTTCACCGTGCCCAATTCATGTGGTGCTGGGGGATTGAACACCTGGCTTTGTGCACGCTAGACGAGCATTCTACAAACTGAGATACACCCCCAGCCCCTAATGTGATGCGTTCTTGTTTACTTTGGAGTCTCCTTTATGTGTTTTGGCCCTCTGGTTATTTGTTGCCTATGTGTCTGCAAATGTTTTCCTCTCATCTATCGAGGGCTTGTCTTTTCTTCTTTTTAACAGGACCCTTCCCAGAGCAGAGCTTTGGGGAGGAAGAATTGACTTTTTTTTTTTTTTTTTTTTATCATGCTGGGTCTTTCAATCCACGATCAAGGTATGCCTCTCTTTGGCTGAGAATTTCTTTGATTTCTTTTGGTGGTTTGTTTGTTTTGGGGTATTTAAAATATGCATGTTATTTTTATACCTGCATCTAAGTAATTAATTTGGGGGGGGCTTGTGGCTGTTATAGCATTTTAAACATTCCTGTTCTTATGTTTGGTATTAATAGGTAAAAATCAATTCGTTAATGACCTCTCATCCAGCGTTCTGCAGCGTTTTGAACTCATGCTTCCGAATCTCTGTAAATTCCTTGGAATTTTCTCCATCATGTGCAAGGGGGGATTTTTTTTTTCTTCCTTTGCTACCTTCTCACCCTGACTTCCAGCGCCCAGCACTACCCTGAGCAATGGATGGGTGTAGGCATTTTGCCTTGTTTCTGGAGTCATTTGCTTTTGATTTTTGAGCAACCGTTTTTTTTTTTTTTTGGTTTCAGGTTCATAACACCACCAGCTGTCCCCCACTTCAACACACACACTTAGTGTCCCCAATTCCAACATTCCACTAGAGCCATGTTTACGCCATGGTCAGTGACCTGTGTTCAGGAGTCATCATCACTGGGCTTCTGGGTTTTGTAGAGGGTCCGTGCACTCCCAGCTCTGTAACCTGTGGGTTTTGACAGAGGTGTAGTGATAGGGACCCAACCCTATGGCACCATACAGGCTATTCCAGCTGAGTACTTAGAGCAGCAGTTCAGTCACGCCCAGGCTCCCGAACCTTCTGCTCTCTTCATCCTTCGTGTGACCCATTCAGAACAGGATCTGCCTGGCCCTGTTTCTGTTCTTGACCTCGAACAAACCTTGAGGTCTTCAGGATGGACCTGTGGACCCCCACCCTCTACCCCTTAGCTGAGCCCCCAGACTCTGGTCCTCTTCCCTCCTCAACCCACAGTGACAAGTTCCACGGCTCAGGTTCCCAGCCTGTGTTTGAAACATCAAAACGGACTTTAATCAGGAAAACAGTTAACTTTTCTCCTTTATTAAAACTAAGGACATCATTATAAAAACCACTATATAGAAAGACAAATGGTTGAGACAACGTCAGTGTAAAACACATCATTATTACATCGGATTCGGGAGGGGGAAGATGATCTGACATCAGAATTTCTGTTTTTGGTTTTCCCGGTCATGGGCTCTGAGAGAGACCCCCACGCCCTCTCAACATGAGCCTGGCTCTTCTAACATAGAGATACCCTCCTGCCCCAGCCTGCCTACCTGCTTCGTCCCACTGACCTGGGGAGAAACAAGTCCTTTGTAGGAAGGTCCCTTGTCCCTCTAGGGTGGCCAGGCTCTCATCCTACAGCTTTGTTGGTTATGGCACATTGCCTGTATGCTCACCATGGATATTAGATGGGGACATTACCGCCTAGCTTGAACACAGACAGTGAGGGGAAATGGGAAGGGACCAGGTATGAGAAACTGTGAGACGCAAGCCTAAGAGCTCACCTTAGTCAAGTACCAGCTGTGACCAAATGGGAGGCCACAGTGGCCCTGTGACTCCAGGGGCTGGTCCTATGCTTAAGGTTGACACTGACTGCAAGGGGACTCTATGCTTTGGAGGGTAGTTTTAGTTTGTCAAGGGTAAATGGGTCAGGGCTTTGACGTAAAGATAGGAAGTAGTGTTAGCCACTAATGGTTAAATCCACCCACTCACTAAGCATTTCTAGCACCGACTACCTGGCAGGCATTTGGACTGGAAACAGGGTGGGGTGGGACAGGTAATGCCACCTCCAAGGTCACTTTTGTGGGAGGGATAGATCAATGTTCTGTGTTTATTTTGCGGACGGGAGTGTTTCCGTTAGGCACGGCAAGTCAGGTCCACCATGGTGGACGCTGCCTACCACTGGGCCACTGCGTGTTCTCTGATGCAACCCATCTGTCTACACAGGAGGGGCTTCCGGTGGACGCTGGCGACAGAGCAAGGTGGCAGGGGCTGCTCAGCAAGTGTCTGCTCAACAGCTGAGGATTTGTGCAGCATGTGGGTGGTACACATCCCTGCGCTGATGGCCTCAGCTGCCAACCTTTCCAACCACAGCCTGTGAAGTGCAGACACGTTGTTGAGGCTACCAAAGGGGTAGGAAACCGTGGGGACACGCGACACACAGTAGGCATGAGGGCTCATTTTCTTTCCTTTTTTTTGTTTTTTGTTGTTTTTCGAGACAGGGTTTCTCCGTGTCGTTTTGGTGCCTGTCCTGGATCTCGCTCTGTAGCCCAGGCTGGCCTCGAACTCACAGAGATCCGCCTGGCTCTGCCTCCCGAGTGCTGGGATTAAAGGCGTGTGCCACCACCGCCTGGCTGAGGGCTCATTTTCTACGGGGTAGAGGACACCACCTTTGACCTGTGACGTCATCTCCTCATAGTCCTCTGACAAGACAGACACTGGCACACACATGGTGAGCTGTGTGACTCAGCCAAGGCCGCCACTAACCCAGCAGAACTCCCTGGCAGACAGTGTGCTCCCTCCCTGCCCTTCACACACACAGGAAATGCCCAGGAGGCCACTCAGATAGTCACCTGTGCCCAAATGCCAGGGGAACCTCATGTTTACCTCCCAAGCAATTCCTGTTAGTGGGAACCAAACAGCTAGAAGAAAAACTAAAACAAGCCAATAAGAAATGTCTGGAAGCCTGAGGCTCTGGATCCTCTCACACCCTCTTGCAGAGCTGGGGACCAGCCGTGAGGAGCAGTCCAGGGGACTGTGGCTGGAATGGCAAGTGGGACTTGCCCCACTGGTTTGGACAGGGGTGGGGCTGGTGACAGTCAACTCAGGACACAGCCACATCATGTCCTGCTGTTTGCACGGACCTGGGGGGGCGCACTAGACAGGCCAAGTGAGGACCAGCTCTTGACTGAAGACAACCTCAAGCATCACCCCTGGCTTGTTTTCCTGTTACCCCAAATCCTTTCCACTGTGGAGTTGAGGTTGCCTGACGGGGTTTTTGGATGACCCAGGAAGTGGTCCTGCCCCAGGAGCACAGCTGTACACACCACTGTTGTCTGCAGTATCTGAGACTGTGAGGGACCAGATCAGAATCATGTGTGTGCATGTATGTGTGAGTTCACATGTAGGTGCATGCATATACATGTGAGTGTATTTGTGGACATATGTGAACATGTACATGTGGCATACATGGGTATGCATGCATACATGGGGGTCTATATCTGTTCTCATATATATATATGTATGTATGTGTGTTCATAGGTGTTTATTATTGAACCTGTGAACATGTGTAAATTATACTGATAGGTGTCTGTATACATGTGTATACATGTGCACGTATGGATGTGTACATATGCATATACACGTGAACATGCATGTGCATGTGTGGACACACGAATGCGTACAAGTTACATTCATATGTGTGGGTGAATGTATACATATGTGTGCATACATGTGTGTGCTCATGGGTATGCCTCTGTGTGTGTGTGTGTGTGTGTGTGTGTGTGTGCATGTGCTCCTGTTTGGATTAAGGCCCGTTGCACACTGGTGAAAGTCACCATCAGATGCTTGGCCACTCCCACACGGGGTGAGCAAGCCATCTCCTTGGTGACTACAGCCAGCCAGGGAGGCGTTCTGAATGGAGGCCCCAGATCATACAGACGACAGGGCATAACACTGCTCACAAAGGACACACAGTTCCCAGTGGGAAATGCCGGACAGATACAAGGACGTCTCATGACTCTCCTTGGGCACGCGGTGTCACCGGCTTCTCTGCTTCCTGTGGCTACTTGCTGCTACAGGAGTGTACTGTGGCCTGAGACTCACAAAAAAAAAAGGGGGGGATGTCGACACAGGCATCTGGAGGAGGCAGCCGTCGGAACCGAGGCCGCCACGACAGCTCAATAAATATTCAGGGACTTGTCTCTACTCTGTGTCTTTTCAGGACATGCTACTAACTGGCACATCTGCCAGCCACAGACACCATGAGCTGGGAACAGATTTTCATCATGGCCACCTGGGGTCCTGCAACCCACCCCAGTACTCACACCCACACGGACACAGCTCTTGCCTTCAGTAGCTTTATGAAGCGGCATGGGGTAAGACCCTGACCTTTAACCCTGGCTTGCCAAATGAGGAAAGGAGGCTCGGAGAGGTTGGGTGGGTGAGCCAGTGTTACCCAGCTGGGAAGGAGCAGGGTTACCAGGGCCTGGAAAGTCAAATTATATGCTGACCTCCGGCCATGGGGCACTCCTGTGTCCTGGCCAGTGTCTAGACTCTTAGCCTCAGACATATATATGAGAGATGCAGGTCCTCAACCAGAATCTTCATGGGGGCCTTCAGCTATTCCCTAAGAGACCTCTGCTGGAGAACCCCACCCCCACCCTGTACCCTGCTGTCTGCATGGCCATGGCCTCCTGTCTCTGAGGAAGGAGGCTTCACAGAGGACGTAGCCCTGAGCAGCAAGCAGCTGCAAGAGGGTTACCCAGAGCCACCCAAAGCCAGAAGTCCCCTCAACATCTGATCTGACTCCTTCTTCTCACTACTGGGGAAACTGAGGCAGGAGGGCCCCAGGTCTTGCCTGTGATCTCTTTCCTCAGGTGACATTAGAATCTGTGTGGCTTGGGGGAAGGATGCCTTTTCCTGCAGAGGCTCTGCATAGGTGTGGGCTGATCCAGCTGGTCTATTGCTAAAACCCTCCAGGGCAATGGCTGCACACACCCTCGGATACTGCAGCATGCGGGAGAGGGCCCATGCCCATCTTTAATCAAGATCCAAGCATAGGCTTTCCAGGCTGTGTGCGGGGCACAGCAGTGCATCTAAGAGCAACCGACTGGGTGCAGAGACAGAGGCCTTTAACCCAGTAAGGCCTCTAGAGCCAGCTAGAGTGACAGCTTCCATGTCCACCAATGGGACCATCTCTCCCTCATGTGGGGCTGAGAGGATGAAGAGCCAGCCAGAGTGGGAAGAGTTTTATGTTCTAGCACACAGTACTATCGATGGAGAAGCACTGTGCGTGCGTGCATGCGTGTGTGTGTGTGTGTGTGTGTGTGTGTGTGTGTGTGTGTACACCATTGTAGGGACTACAGAGATCTGCATGCGGAATTGTCCCTTCACCTCTGCTGCGCTTTGAGTCCTGGCCACCCTAGCTTGTTTGCTTCTAGGAACCTGACGGGATTGTGGCTCTTGTGGCTTTGGGCTCTTCCTCTCTAGGTCCCATTGCTGGTCTTACGTGTGGTTTGAACCCGGGCTTAAACATTTCTGACCACCCAAGCCTCCACATGCAGCCTCCACAATATGCCTTTGTGACCCCCAAGGGCACCTCCACGCTGGCTCTTCCTTCCGTGCTGCCCCTTGCTCACTGTCCCCCACAGTGTGTGGCGGGTGGGTGGCCAGCCCATGTGGGGTTACCGCCAATCAACTGAGGATGCAGCTTCAGGAAGAAGGGGTCACAGGGAGGGCAGGAACACTTTGGCCTCACTCATAGGGGTGGGGTGGCCATGTCTACATTGGCAATGTGGCCTCTGGAGATCCACAGGGTCACTCCAGGGGGATGTCTTTTCTTCTGTGTGCCCTAGGACAGTGGGTCACTGATGATGAGCTCTGTGGGCAGATGTTATAGGTACCCAGGCTTACTTGGAAAAGCCCCATTTTAAGTAGACAGATTCATGGAACCCTCTGTTCTGGGTTTCCTTAGGACCCTTCATCCTGTGTATGTGTTTCTTCTCCCTTCAAGGTGTGGCACCCCAGGGCAGAGCCTGGCATTCTTCACCCCTGGATCTGATCGCCGCCTGGCCTAGTGCACAGCAAGCGTGTGGCTAGTGTGAGCTTCTTAGGGAGGCTCAGGCAGTGACAGTGGAGGATCTGGGTTGTGGGGGTGCTGCACTCACTGTAAAAATGTCAGGCAGGTGCTCCAATGACCATACTGGGGACCTGGGCTATGGAGCCTGTTACACCCTGGGAATCAAAACCTGGACTTGGGTTCTTGTCACCCTGGAGTCAAACTGTGGAGCTGGCCATGTCCTGACCATATGACTGTGGCACCCTTCTCCAAGCTGTACTGTTTCCAGAGGTGTTACACGCCCACCTCCCAGGAACTGTGATGGTGCACACAACACATCCAACCTAGGCTGCCCGAAGTCAGCTGAGTTATTTCCTCATGCCTGCTGCTATGGGAACAGATTCCACCAGAACCCATCCTCACTGGTATATGCTCCAGTTCCCACTACCTGTGGCACCGGAAGGCTGGGCCCTGTGCCTGCCCACTCTACCAGCTCACAGTTGCTGGCCACAGCAAGAGGTCTGAGCCTCAGACAAGGACACAAGGAAGACTCTTCAGCCACATGGTGACCTGTGCCCATCGGAGAACCTTACAGCCAGTGGCGAGGGGGCTCGATTAAAAACTAGCTGAACGAACACATAGAAAGAACACCCTGATCATACACGTGCGCGCACACACTCACGGTCAATATTCCGACATGGATAGGCCTAAGGGGGCCACTATTGGAGGGAGTGGAGGCAGGAAAAACGTCAGTGTTTGGACCATGGTACAACTCACGGCCCCAAATCCTTCTGGCTGGGGTCAGCCAGGGCAGCTAAGTGTTGGTCATCTCAGTCCACACCAAGTCTCTTCTCAGAAGCCACCAGCCCAAAAAAGAACTATTGCTTGCAGACAGGTGGCTCAGAGCCCCTTTCCTGCACCCCGTTTGTCCCCAGACCCTGAGTTTGCTCCTAATCTCAGAAGTCCTCGGAAGGGGGTTCTGGGCACAGGTGGTTTTTCCTCTTCTGTTACCACACCATTGCCCCGGCTCTCCCTGGTGTCTTGGTTGAAGCTGTTCTTGGAGGCTGCACCAGGTGCTCTGGGTCTAACCTCCTCCATCCTGAGGCACAGCAAAAGGGTTTTCTGGAGAGAGTGGAAGAGAGAAGCACCAAGCATTAGAGTGAGGAGAAGCCAAGAACACACGTCATTTGTACTTTAGACAGGAGACATTCTGTGATACTGTGGTTGCATGGGAGACTAGAGCTCCTGGCCCATGCAATAAGACAAGAAACATGTACAGAGTGCCAGAATTTAAATACAAAAACCCAACTTACAGTTAACCGTATATAATCTATCTGGAAAATCTAACAGAGCCAGCAGGCTGCTTATCAGAACAGAGATTGCAAAGGTAAATATAATTCTCACTCTTTAAGCCATCAGATCAACTTATAAGACTCAATGGGGTGCATCTCCTACAGCTTGACTATATATCTTGGCTGGAGACAGTTCCAGTGAACACCTGTCATCAAACATAATTACTTTACTTTAATACTGTTAGTTTTTAACCTTCCAAAGTACTCCGATTTGGATGAAAAATGAATATAGCATCCTTTTGTAATGAGCTAACAACTATTCAAAACAGATACGGAAACCATTCATATGAATAACAAAACCCATTATGCCTCTTGGACTCATACCACTGGACAGGTCTCCATGGCTTTGGACATGATAAAGTCATGAAAAGGAACCCAAGGCATTCCTGGACCAGGGATGGGCCAGGAGACCAGTGGATAAGGACAAGGATGTAAGAGAGGCCTGAAGACTGAGGGCCCTCAGTGGCTGAGCCAGGCTATAGGCCGGACAACAGGGAGCAGGAACAAACCCCATCCATGCCTGCTCCACAGATCACCACGCTAAGAAGAACTGCCCAGGGCTGGTGAGCTGGCTCAACAGTAAACATGCTTGCCGCCAAACCTGGCAACCCACACGGTGAGAGGGGAGAGCGGACTCTTAAAAGTCGCTCTCTGACCCTCCCACAGGCACGGCAGTGTACACACCCACACACAGACATACACGAAATAAAGAGATGGATGTAATTTTGAAAAAATAAAAAAATAAAACAGCTACCCAATTTCAAATCCCTGTCTTCCCAGAGGCCTTTGCAGACTAGAGTGGCCACATGACAGGGTGACTGATACAGGGAAGTCAAAGACTACTAGGCTGCAAGAGGGCCAAGGTGATTGGCTGTTTCCTTATCCTGTATTTCTAGGGCCTAGAATGGCAACTGGCACCCAGTGGGACTCAATAAATACTTGTTGAATGAATGAATGAATGAATGAATGAATGAATGAACCAAGCAATTTAAAGTCTGGGTATGGGAACCATCTTTCCAGTGTGAGGTTAGCAGTAAGAGTTGTTTGAATTACTATCCCTGTCAGCCCGTCTTAAAGAAGTCACCAGAGGCTAGGCTTGGGCCCGTGAGGGGGCATGGAGGAGCCGCTCACTCTAGGAGAGTGTTTGAAAAAGCCCAAGGGTTCTGACAAGTACAGAAGAGAATGGGAATGAAAACAGAGAAGTGGTATAAATAACAGATCGTAGGAGGGACAAGGTGAGGAGGAGGCGGTGTGGATAAACGAGGTCTGACTCATTTAGAGTTGGGGGGTCTGAAGAATTCCTCAGCCGTTAAAGTCAAATCAGAAATGTGAAGAGGCCCGGGACAAGAGAACACAGGGATTGAGAGACAAGGGGAGAGAAAGGCAAGACACTGAAGACCGACATTGCTCACTGTGGGGAGAAAATAAACGCCGTATCACAAAATAAACGATTAAGCCTATTGCATCCCATTATAATTATGGAGGTAACCATGGCATCCAAACACAGCTTCCCGAGTGATCAGAAGACATTTACACGGAAAATAAAACAAAGAAAAACCCAGGCCATATGGGGGGAAACTGACAGCCCCCACCAAAGCTATAAACGCAAAAATGTATCATAAACCGGGACGACAGGAATGGGACTGAGGGTGTCTGCGGCAGCAGTAGACATTAATGAGCCATACGAACTTGCTAAAAAAGAAAGGATGCTGAGCGGGGATCGCAGATCCATCCCACTCGGGGCCAAGCGACTCAGAAGAGCCCGCGCTCCACACCACTGGAGCCTACGCTTCAAAAGGCTCAGGTGATAGGCTCTGCTTCCTGCACCCCACCCCATCTCAAAAGAAAGCATGGGTGTGATACAGGCAGCGGTATACTGGGAGGAATTCCGGGTCACGGCCGGACTACCAGACACAGCCGCAGTTGGGTCTAGCCGGGACAGAGCCCAGTTCAGTGCTTTCCTGAGGCACAGTCCTGGGGTCCATCCTCAGCACTGAACCAACTGGGTGTGGTAGGAGTTCTAGGTTACCTGGGCTACACCATACCTAACACGAAATGGGGGCGGAGGAAGAGGCAGAGAGAATGAGCAAAGCAAGTACAGGGTGTGAGCATGGTAGAGACAGCCAATCGTGAGGTCCAACACTAGTGAATCCCCATGCACAAGACGGCACAGCTTTGGTGTTTGCTCCACAGGAACAGCCAGGGACGCAGGAGAAAAGGAGGCAGAGTGTGCTATCATTGGTACACCCAGTTCCACTCTCTCCATGGCAGATGGAGTGGCCAGCATAAGGGAAGCCCCCCCCCCCAGATACACACACACACACACACACACACGGGGGGGGGGAGGAGAGAGAGAGAGAGAGAGAGAGAGAGAGAGAGAGAGAGAGAGAGAGAGAGAATGACAATCAGGCTTAAATTTCAAACAGCAGAAATAAAACATTATCTGGTCATAATATAATATAATTTGTACAAAAAAAACACAAGTCAGGTGTAAGTGGCACACACTTAGAATCTCAGCTTTCAGGATACAGAGACAAGAGGATTGCTGCAAGTTTTGAGGCCAGCCTGGGCTACATAGCAAGACTCTAAATAAACAAACAAACAAATAAATGGCTGAGGGCTCAGCTGGTGAAGTGCTTGCCACACAAGCATGAGGACCTGAATTCAGAGACCCACATAAAAAGCTAGGTGCTATGGCAGGCTCCTGTAATCCCAGCACCGAGGAGGCAGGTAGGAGCATTCCTGGACCTGCTGGACATCCAATCCAGCCAAATCAGTGAGCTAGGCTCAGTGAGAGACCTTGTCTCAAATAGTAAGGTGAAAAGCAATTGAGGAAGACACGTGATGTTACCCTGTAGCCGCCACATGCATGTGCACACACTTGTACATATACACATGAACACACACCAGAAAAACCCACAAAACGAAATGAAGTCTACCCCTAAAGATTTTATAAACTCCTTTAAATCACCCAAGTCAAAGAGAGTGAGAGGGTGAAGAGTCAAAAATCACAAAACAAGGAAAACAGGAATTTCAAAATTGGCCAAAAATGAAAATAACATTTCCAAAGCTAAGTGATGCAGCCAAAGCTGTACCAAGAGGTGGTTTCATAGCCTTAAATAAGCCCTTCAGAAACATGAAAACGCAAATGATTTACCAAGCTCAAACAGTTAGAAAAGCCCAAAACAAACAAAACCAAAGAAGACACGGGAAAGCTAGAAAGAGATTAAAATGGAAACATCTCATAAACAAATCTAGATGTTGGTTCTTTGGAAAGCAATGGGCTATATGAACAACTGGGGATTCCAACACAGCAGAAGGTGGAAGAGACAAAAGGGGAGATGGTAGCTGGGGAGGGAGTACCCATGTGCTTTCTGTCCAATTCCAATCTCCAACTAGAATGGCATCACAGTCTCCAGAGACCCCCATGCTGCTAAATCTATGGCTTGCAATTGCCATCCCCCCCCCAGTACTGGTCAGTGTTGACTCAGTGATGCCTCCTGTTCTAGTATGCTCCTGCCCTTTGTCTTGATTCTTCTTGGCTTCCAAGGATACTCCTGCCCAGGTCCCTGTCTTTCAACTCTCCCAGGCATCTTCTCCAGCTCAGATTGTCTCAGCATTTCCCAAGGACTTCAACGCCATCTACACTGTGCTGTTCTAATTTGTTTTCTGTGGCATGACCAACTTGGAGAGGAAGGGGTTTATTCTACCTTATAGGTTACATTCCACCATGGAGGGAAGCCAAGGCAGGAACTCAAGGCAGGAGCTTGAGCAGAAACCAATGAAAGACTACTGCTTAGTGGCTTGCTCCCAGACTCACCTTGGGCTACCTTCCTTACACAGCCCATGCCCACCTGCCTAGGAAAAATACCACCCATGGTGGGCTGGCCCCTCCCACATCAATTAACAACCAAGAAAATGCTTCACAGACATGGCCACCAATCTGATGGAGGCCATTTTTCAGCTGACCTTCCTTCTTCCTGGGTGTGTTTCAGGTTGACAAGCAGGGATTAATCATCACAGACTAATGTTACTTTCCTTGTTGCAGTGACTCTGAGAAGTAAAACATACAAATGGACCATCTGGGTCAGCCTAGGTCCAGCTACTGATGATCAGGAGATGCCGGCCCACCGACACCGGCTCGTCTAGCTTCCCCACCCAGGCTAGAAGTTTAGAGTAAAAAATTACTAACTGCCAACCTTGCCTAGTGACCCGAAGATGTGACTCAGTCATGCACCCCAAAAGCTTTAAAATAAACAGGATGGAGGATGTACAGATAAACCCATGCATCTGTTTTGTAGGCGACAGATGACATGTATGACTGTACCCCTGTTTACTCAGCCAGTGAGGGAAAAGGGGCAGGGCCTGACTTGGGGCTACAAAAACAGTCCTTTGGGTTCCTGCTGCGGGCCCGTTTGCTGACCAAATTTACAAAGTCCAAATAAACTAACCCTTTGCTACTCCGTTGTTAGTGGTTGTTATGAGTGGGGTTCCTCATTCCCCATAGTGGCCAAATTCCTGAGAGAAGCAATTTAGAGCATGGTCCGCAGTTTGAGGATATAGTCCATCATAGCAGGGAAGGGTATGGTGGAACAGTCCCAGACTGTAGGTGACAGAAGCAGGGGGCTTCTGGCTCACATCTGGGAGGATCCAAAGGCAGACAGCTGACAGGAAGTGGAAGCCAATCCCAGTTACCCACTTCTTCCATTGAGGCTCCGCCTCTCAAAGGTGATGCCGGTGAGGTTAGTGTATGAATGGGAGATGAGTGAC